AACCTTCGACGTCCTTGTAAATAAGTCATTTAAATCTAAATTACTATAGTCAGAAACTTTAGTAACTGGCTTGTAATAATCCTTTTTTTTATATCTGATGACTAAGGCTATTGCATTGTACTATTTTAAATATGTATTTTTGATAATTCGAACGAAGACAATAACATTATTATTACTATCTTGACAATATTTTTTTAATATTAACTTTACAGGATTAAGTAGTCATAGAACAGACTATTCGTCATTTCAGGTTATATTAACTTACTGGGCAACATGAAAGAGGAAAAAGTAGTTCTAACCCGAATTAACTATGAAAGATCATGAGAAGAGATCAGATTCGGAAAGAATGACTGAACTGAACAGAAATTAATACCGATGATGATAATAAATACTATCTAAAATTAATCTAAGTTGCTTTGCTTAATAATTTAACATTAATTAATTTAATTTAAACAACAAGTATTTAAAACAATTCTTGTATAAAGGACGTCGATAGCTTATGAGGCCCGTGATAAAATGGACATCTTTTCCTCTTTCCCTTTAGTCTTTTTTTTTGTACCAATGAAATACGTAGAAAGCTTCTTTATTAATAAAAAGCAATCTTAAAGATTTCATTTTCTAGTAATAAAAAGAATATTAATTTTATAGAAGTAAGAACTACCACTATAGACCCCAAGTTTTCTTCAGATCCAGGGAAAAATTTCAGCTTCCATTTCTCTCGATTCCCTGTTTGTATATTACATAAATGTTCTTCTACAGCCATGCAAGCTTGTTTATTATTGAAATAATGTTAGAAATATTAATAAATTGCGATTGAAAGTTATATTACGTCATTTAAAATTATTTTATTATATAAAATAAATTTTCTTTCATTTAAATAAAAAATTAAATTAAATTTAAAATGTCGGAGTCCAAGTTGACACATTTTTCCTGACTCATCTGGCCAGGCATTCCTTCCAACTCTGACTCCACAGCCCTGATAGCGACGTCCATTCAGTAAAATAAAAACAATTAATTAGCACCAGAAGAATTAACTACACACTCTTATTCAAATAACTATTTCCAATCAAAAGTGCATGATTTATCTGCCATGAAAATCTGCTACAAGGTCATGTAATAATGTCGCAAAGCTTCCTAAAAAATAAAATCAAAATGGTTTATAAAAAATACAAAAAAGAAAACAAAACACAAAATTTCAGTTTTGTTTTCATTAGTGATAAAAGTGAGAGTACATTTTCCAAAATACAGATAAAATATGATGTTGAGCCTACCACTCAGCACATAAGACATTGTCTCAATTTCATTTCTTTTCACTTTTCAACTACAACTAATATAAATTTCATTTTTATTGATATCAATAGAAAAGAAGTTAACTTACAATTTTTCATTTATAATATAGGTATACAGTGCATATATTTCTTTCTATAGAACAAACCTTTTGAGTATATTTTTCCAATAGACTAGATTTAAATGCAATTTGTAAGCATTGCTATGAAAGCAATTTAAAATTTATTTAAGCTAATTGAGTCCCAGATATTTTTAAATAAAAATACAAATAAAATTATTTTAACTAAAAAATTTTGGAGGAAAAAAAACGCAATTGAACAGTAACCAATTTTCATAACCAACTGTACAGAAAAAATTGCATATTTTCTCGTAAAAGTTAGAACAATGGTAGAATTGTAAAAGTTACACCATAAGATAGATGAAAATGTCTTATTTTTTAGTAAAAAAATTTTATGATGATATCTATTACAAAAAAAAATTTTGCGATAAACATGAAGTTAAAAGACATTTCTCAGATTTGTAAGAGTCAACAGAATACAGTTAACTCTATTAAAATTATCATGATATTGCAGCCTAACCACCTACCTCTAGTCAAATTACTTTATATCTAGCATTATTAAATTATTCTTATAGCCCAATAATACAGCAAATTTGGTATTGATTCTATTCCACTGAACCATACAAATAGGTTAATCAATTGTCAAAATAATGGGCAAGGTGACATTCATCTATGTGAGGTATTCCCATTAACACTGGCCATTTGAATGGAATAATGGGTAGATAGAAGATCACAATATTGTAATATAAAATCAAAAGTGGCAAAATGACATGAAACTTTTTGAATTTTCAGAGGAATCACTGTCTACATATACCATATGAATATATATACATATTGTTCAATATTTGAAAATGTTTATGCTGATATATATTTCTTTAATACTTTGCTATAACAAACACAAAAATGTTATTTATTTACTACATAATATGCTTTGTCCTTTAAAAAAATTATTTCAATTTCATTATATGATCAATTAAAGTTAGTAAGAAAGAACAAAATAATTTGTATATAAAATAGATCAGCTAAGGCTCCATCATGCTATATATTAAGAAACATATTTCCGTGCTAAAATACTTTATTGCTAATTAATCTTAGAGAAAATTTATTTATTTAAAAATTAATAAAAACATACCTGAATAATCTTGCATGATTGTAATGTAATGTTGTTGCACTATCTCCTTTCATATAAAGTACTTTATCCCAATCAAATTTATAATTACTTTGTCGTCTATTTTTCATATCATTTATCATAACAGCTGACATTCCTATAACATCCGCAATTTCATCCATATTATTTGTTGCCCGTGTCGCTGAAAATAAAAGTATATGAATTATATTTGAATCTTTAGTTTTGAACAATGTTAACTAAATTGCTATCTTAACATTACCAAAAATTTCCAATTTTTTAAAATTTTTAACATGAATAACATAAACCATGAGAAATACAAGATTGTGAACTATAATATACATATATATATAATATATATGGGAAGATTGCATTGTTCACTGATATAGGCATGTTTTAAACAAGAAACCTCAATTGTATAGAAAAGTCTGAGAAATGATAAATATCAATCAGACTGTATGAAAATATCAAGTGTATATAAGATACCCCTCAAGGTTGATAGAGACAAGCAAGAACATGAATATGTTGTTGCCGTGGCAAGATCTTTGTAGAATAGAATTAAAGAGCAGTTTCTATAAACTATCAAAAAGGAATATCTTCCATAGCATTTGTAAGATATGTTATGGAGGAGAAGGTTACTGTGAAGTGTTGGAAATCTATATATCAAGACATAAGGGGAATTCTGAAAACTTTAATGAGGACAGCAATGTATCTAAAAGTATCTTACATGCAAGTAAATACAATAAATTATTATAGATTTTGAAAATGATTCCTTACTTGATGAATTTAACATTGAAATAAAAGCTTTACTTTTAGCTTCTTCTAATAAATCTTTCAGATGCACTAACTTTCCTTTTCTTGTGCTCATTCCTTCAATTTGGCCAAATTTTATATGATGAACTGAACTAAAATTATTTATTAATTTAATAACCATTAAGTTTAAAAATCAAAAATTAGGAAATACAATAAAATAGTACCTATACCAATCATATCCCAATATTTTCAAAATGGCAACAAGGGAAAGAAAATGATCACTTTGGTTATTATCAACCTTTAAAAAATATTTTAAATATTAAAAAAATAATAATAATAAGGTTCATTATATTAATAAACCTGTACTGACAACATAATATGCTTTATCAAAATTATACTTCTCTTTACGATCTAGCACTGCAGCTATGTCTCTACAACAAAAAAATGATAATTACAGTAACCAAAATTAAAATAAATTTGCTAAATAACTAAAAATGTTAACATACCTACTAATATACAATGTCGAACCATCAGTCTTCTCTAATGTAACTGTTAGCTCACGATCAGCATTAACAGGAACTTTAAGTTGAACTAATCCTTCACTATATACACATATATCTAATAATCAGTAATTTTTAACAATATGATTAAATTACAAATCTATAAAAATTTTATATGAAATAATCAATTATTCTATTTTTTGGTTTCTGAATTATTAGTATAGTCTAAATAAAAACATGACAAAGCCAAGATATCATTGTTTTCAAAAATAAATGCATATTTGATATTATTCTTGAATATACCATCAAAATTTTAAATTAGAAACACAGAATTGACATACACAAAAATGATTGCCCCTTAAAATAACATGTTTCTATCAGGTATGTCAAACAAACTATCAGATTATTTATCAGGCTGTAATTAGTCAAGTAATTAATACTTCTGGAAGCAAAGATCAGACAGAAGTCTGGATATTGTAATTGGCAATGCTTCTGCATGGTAAACAGGAATTGTGGGTTCAAGTCCCCACTCTGAACCAATCTTTTCTTCCAGAAAATTCTAAATTTAAATTAAAAATTAAATTTGTCATTAAATGGCAGTCTAACCGCTTAATTATAGACAAATTACTCTATTTCTAATTGTTACATTACTTTGTTACAGCACTATAAATAACCCAGTTGTTTGTTTGGCATATCTAATAGAATTGGGTTGATGTTATGTTGTTATGTGCTTCTATCATTCCAAAATTTCCCCTGTCCAACTCAGTTCAATTTTATAAAGATGTTAAACAACTTTTGATTTACCCTGTATTTTTATAAGACACAAATAATATAATTTTGTATTGTATTATTCAAAAACTAATTTTAAAATGATTTATTAATACATATTTAAAAACAAATATATTCAAATATTCCTGAATTTAATATCTTCACAAATAAATGCTATAAAATTGAAAAAAAGCTTTATTTTATGATAAAAATAGATTTGAAAAATATATTAAAATCATGAAATACTGTTACAATTTTCTCTAAAGCAAGAATAAATAGAAATAACTGACAAAATTAATATATTTCCAATTTCATTATAAAATTTAATATAAACATCCTAATATAATATTGAAAAATCAATATTCCAAGCATAAAGAAAAACTATAATATAAGAAAATAAGTAATAGTCTTATCCTTCTTTTATTGGAAAACTAAAAAGTTTCAATCAATATTACAAGGGCTATTTTTTAAATAAGGTCTGTTTTTTAATAAGAAGAAAAATACTGTAAATATTAAAATATATTTTTTTCCATATTCTACATACTTTTATCTACTTTTCTACATAATTTACATTTTTGTTCAAACGTTTGTCATACCACTCAAAAATTTTAAAATTCCGACTTCAAAGAAATTTGCCGCTGGAAGACATTAGGCCATATCGCTTGTCTTGTATGGCACGGTGGAGTTTTCTAAGGTCACACAATAAGCATCAGTATTGATTGTTGTGCCTCTTGGCATAAAATCCACTAACAAAGTCCCTTTCCTGTCCCAAAAGACAGTTACCATGATCTTTCATGCTAAAATCAAACAACAGATCATATCTTACAGTCGGCAGGCGACTCAGTTTTCTTAAACATTATAAACTTCTACAGTTCAGCACACAGACAGCCAATATGGCTGCAAATGGCATCTAAACACACGCAAAGCATGCTGAAAGCAGATGCTCATGCACACTGCTGCAATCGCGTATCATTCTCACTCTCATTCACAAACAGATCTTATTTAAAAAATAGCCCTCGTATTTATCAATTCCAGTAAACAAGCATTTATTTTTTTTGTAATAATAACAAATCAGACAATGTAATAGTTTTTGAATTTGTAAAAATGTCTTATTTATGTTGTTTAAAGATAACAATTTTTCTTTTGTTATATTGCTATGATTACTCAAGTGTTCTATTCTAAAACTAAAGATGAAGAAAAGATAATTTTGAAACATTTTTTCTTTGTCCTTAGATATATTTATTGATTAAAACTGGCTTGACTCTAGTAGACTCATTTTCATCTGGATTTTGTTCTTAAGATTTGTTTACAAACCATCCAACATTAATATAACTTTATCTTTTTAATATGCTTATTCTATCGTCTATTTAATATAAAAACCAAACACCTTTATAAATCTAGCTACGTTTTACTGAAAAACAAACATTTTTGATTTATATCATAAGTTATCCTCAGGATTATAATTCAATAAGAAACAACATAAACATATTAAAAGAATATGAATAATTTNAGCTAAGGCTCCATCATGCTATATATTAAGAAACATATTTCCGTGCTAAAATACTTTATTGCTAATTAATCTTAGAGAAAATTTATTTATTTAAAAATTAATAAAAACATACCTGAATAATCTTGCATGATTGTAATGTAATGTTGTTGCACTATCTCCTTTCATATAAAGTACTTTATCCCAATCAAATTTATAATTACTTTGTCGTCTATTTTTCATATCATTTATCATAACAGCTGACATTCCTATAACATCCGCAATTTCATCCATATTATTTGTTGCCCGTGTCGCTGAAAATAAAAGTATATGAATTATATTTGAATCTTTAGTTTTGAACAATGTTAACTAAATTGCTATCTTAACATTACCAAAAATTTCCAATTTTTAAAAATTTTTAACATGAATAACATAAACCATGAGAAATACAAGATTGTGAACTATAATATACATATATATATAATATATATGGGAAGATTGCATTGTTCACTGATATAGGCATGTTTTAAACAAGAAACCTCAATTGTATAGAAAAGTCTGAGAAATGATAAATATCAATCAGACTGTATGAAAATATTAAGTGTATATAAGATACCCCTCAAGGTTGATAGAGACAAGCAAGAACATGAATATGTTGTTGCCGTGGCAAGATCTTTGTAGAATAGAATTAAAGAGCAGTTTCTATAAACTATCAAAAAGGAATATCTTCCATAGCATTTGTAAGATATGTTATGGAGGAGAAGGTTACTGTGAAGTGTTGGAAATCTATATATCAAGACATAAGGGGAATTCTGAAAACTTTAATGAGGACAGCAATGTATCTAAAAGTATCTTACATGCAAGTAAATACAATAAATTATTATAGATTTTGAAAATGATTCCTTACTTGATGAATTTAACATTGAAATAAAAGCTTTACTTTTAGCTTCTTCTAATAAATCTTTCAGATGCACTAACTTTCCTTTTCTTGTGCTCATTCCTTCAATTTGGCCAAATTTTATATGATGAACTGAACTAAAATTATTTATTAATTTAATAACCATTAAGTTTAAAAATCAAAAATTAGGAAATACAATAAAATAGTACCTATACCAATCATATCCCAATATTTTCAAAATGGCAACAAGGGAAAGAAAATGATCACTTTGGTTATTATCAACCTTTAAAAAATATTTTAAATATTAAAAAAATAATAATAATAAGGTTCATTATATTAATAAACCTGTACTGACAACATAATATGGTTTATCAAAATTATACTTCTCTTTACGATCTAGCACTGCAGCTATGTCTCTACAACAAAAAAATGATAATTACAGTAACCAAAATTAAAATAAATTTGCTAAATAACTAAAAATGTTAACATACCTACTAATATACAATGTCGAACCATCAGTCTTCTCTAATGTAACTGTTAGCTCACGATCAGCATTAACAGGAACTTTAAGTTGAACTAATCCTTCACTATATACACATATATCTAATAATCAGTAATTTTTAACAATATGATTAAATTACAAATCTATAAAAATTTTATATGAAATAATCAATTATTCTATTTTTTGGTTTCTGAATTATTAGTATAGTCTAAATAAAAACATGACAAAGCCAAGATATCATTGTTTTCAAAAATAAATGCATATTTGATATTATTCTTGAATATACCATCAAAATTTTAAATTAGAAACACAGAATTGACATACACAAAAATGATTGCCCCTTAAAATAACATGTTTCTATCAGGTATGTCAAACAAACTATCAGATTATTTATCAGGCTGTAATTAGTCAAGTAATTAATACTTCTGGAAGCAAAGATCAGACAGAAGTCTGGATATTGTAATTGGCAATGCTTCTGCATGGTAAACAGGAATTGTGGGTTCAAGTCCCCACTCTGAACCAATCTTTTCTTCCAGAAAATTCTAAATTTAAATTAAAAATTAAATTTGTCATTAAATGGCAGTCTAACCGCTTAATTATAGACAAATTACTCTATTTCTAATTGTTACATTACTTTGTTACAGCACTATAAATAACCCAGTTGTTTGTTTGGCATATCTAATAGAATTGGGTTGATGTTATGTTGTTATGTGCTTCTATCATTCCAAAATTTCCCCTGTCCAACTCAGTTCAATTTTATAAAGATGTTAAACAACTTTTGATTTACCCTGTATTTTTATAAGACACAAATAATATAATTTTGTATTGTATTATTCAAAAACTAATTTTAAAATGATTTATTAATACATATTTAAAAACAAATATATTCAAATATTCCTGAATTTAATATCTTCACAAATAAATGCTATAAAATTGAAAAAAAGCTTTATTTTATGATAAAAATAGATTTGAAAAATATATTAAAATCATGAAATACTGTTACAATTTTCTCTAAAGCAAGAATAAATAGAAATAACTGACAAAATTAATATATTTCCAATTTCATTATAAAATTTAATATAAACATCCTAATATAATATTGAAAAATCAATATTCCAAGCATAAAGAAAAACTATAATATAAGAAAATAAGTAATAGTCTTATCCTTCTTTTATTGGAAAACTAAAAAGTTTCAATCAATATTACAAGGGCTATTTTTTAAATAAGGTCTGTTTTTTAATAAGAAGAAAAATACTGTAAATATTAAAATATATTTTTTTCCATATTCTACATACTTTTATCTACTTTTCTACATAATTTACATTTTTGTTCAAACGTTTGTCATACCACTCAAAAATTTTAAAATTCCGACTTCAAAGAAATTTGCCGCTGGAAGACATTAGGCCATATCGCTTGTCTTGTATGGCACGGTGGAGTTTTCTAAGGTCACACAATAAGCATCAGTATTGATTGTTGTGCCTCTTGGCATAAAATCCACTAACAAAGTCCCTTTCCTGTCCCAAAAGACAGTTACCATGATCTTTCATGCTAAAATCAAACAACAGATCATATCTTACAGTCGGCAGGCGACTCAGTTTTCTTAAACATTATAAACTTCTACAGTTCAGCACACAGACAGCCAATATGGCTGCAAATGGCATCTAAACACACGCAAAGCATGCTGAAAGCAGATGCTCATGCACACTGCTGCAATCGCGTATCATTCTCACTCTCATTCACAAACAGATCTTATTTAAAAAATAGCCCTCGTATTTATCAATTCCAGTAAACAAGCATTTATTTTTTTTGTAATAATAACAAATCAGACAATGTAATAGTTTTTGAATTTGTAAAAATGTCTTATTTATGTTGTTTAAAGATAACAATTTTTCTTTTGTTATATTGCTATGATTACTCAAGTGTTCTATTCTAAAACTAAAGATGAAGAAAAGATAATTTTGAAACATTTTTTCTTTGTCCTTAGATATATTTATTGATTAAAACTGGCTTGACTCTAGTAGACTCATTTTCATCTGGATTTTGTTCTTAAGATTTGTTTACAAACCATCCAACATTAATATAACTTTATCTTTTTAATATGCTTATTCTATCGTCTATTTAATATAAAAACCAAACACCTTTATAAATCTAGCTACGTTTTACTGAAAAACAAACATTTTTGATTTATATCATAAGTTATCCTCAGGATTATAATTCAATAAGAAACAACATAAACATATTAAAAGAATATAACATTCATATATAAAATAAATAAATGGAATAGAAAAATTCAGATACTAATTATTTAAATATTTAAATTAAAATGAAGGAAAAATGAATGAATAATGTTAAAATTCAAATTAACTACAAATCCCAATATTTAACACATTTCTATGACAGGGACAGTGTTTTCATGACAGTGACATTTAGTCCCTCTTGTATTTATGCATATCTCAAAATTATTTTGTTTTTAAATTTCATATATTTTTGTATTGCTTTATTTTTAAGAATGATGGTATTCTTTTTAAATTTTTTTTTCTGCAAGTGTTAATTTCTTAATAAATTTTACCACACAAAAGTCTTATAAAATCTTATTTTCTAATATAATTTATTTTCTGGAATGCTTTGTTCTGTTGTAATTTCAATATTCATTTTGAACTTTCATTTGGCCCATCCTAAGTTGCAATAAACTTGCTTAAATTACAATTGTTAAAAAATTAATCTGTGTTATGTTAGATTAGACTAGATTTTAAAACATTTAAAAGAATGTTTTGACAGATTTCACAATTCAAGGACCAAAGATTGAAATTCAGCATCTTTGAAAACCCTTAGATACAATTTTGTACAGTAGAGCGTTGATTATCCGAATCAATTGGGGACTGGGGTTGTTTGAAAGATCGATGTTTCGGATAACTGAGTATGTATGAAAAAATATATTAATTTATCTCATCTTGACATTTTTCTCCGTTGCGTGTCGCTTCGCGTTGAATTTTTGTCGATGTTAAGCCTAACGAAGACTATTGTATCGTTAAAAATTATTTTTTTATTTTGTACGAATAAAATAAATATATTGAAAAATATAAAAACAATAAAAATTATACTTCAGAAGTTAATTTAGTATCAAAAACGTAAAATGTTTGAGTAGCCCAAGACATAGCCAAAGATTGCAGTGCCACAGCACTGGCAAAAATTTAAATTTGCCGACTGGAATTCTTTCAGATGATTGACGTTTCGGATGATTGACTTTCAGATAATCGACGCTCTACTGTACTTATTTATAATATGCTATATAGTGATGGGGCAATTAATCATAATCGAGCAAATCTCATCATGATTGCTGTTTCTTAAAGCAATTCTTCCACTTTTAATAAGAAAATAAATTATTTGTTTCAGTTGAAAATTAAAAATTTCTATGTTGTTTTTGAAACCGTGTTTGATAAATATACAATTTTTTTTTGTGAATTTGGATTTTGAGATGTTACCAGCACGTTATGCAAATTCTTAGCTGTTTTGCTACAACAGCGATAAATCCACCCCTACTGGCAAATTTAGGTACTACTTTTTTTTTCTTCGTGGAATCTCTTTCCCATGTCGTCCTTAGTCACTCCCAAATTTGGCGATAGTCCGGCTGTTAGATTGCTCTACAGATGTCTCTAAGTACCATCAGTTTAAAAAAACACCCTGTATTATTGTGAAATAATTAATCTTGATTTACATGTGCAGTCCAAGAACACAAGTCAACATAAATTATAACCATCTGTCAATATAACAGAGAGATATTTTATTTCAATAAATAAGTAAAGTCAATTTTAATTTGAATAATATCTGCCATCAAACAGCAGACACTACTACTACTCAAGGATTTTTGAAAACTTATGAAAACAATGTAAAATTAATAAATATTGTAAATTACAGTAACTCCATACTGTATTTATTTAACAAACTTCAATAAAAAATGCTAGATTAAAAATCTAAAATATACAGATGATGTATTTTTTACATACTGGTATATGTTTCTTTATAATGACTGTAACAGTCATTATAAAGAAACATAACCTACCAGTTGTCATTTCAAGTAGCTAATAATTTGCTTTAAAAATCAAGCTTTCATACATAAATAAATACTTTATTAATAAAGGGTATTAAATAGATAGATGAAAAGAAAATAATAATTGCCCTTAATAATAACCAGAGAAAATACTTATTCAAATAAAACTATTAATTTAAATATTTACCACTCACCTGAACACTATTACTTAATTAAATACATAAAACTGATCTCTATGTATAATCACTATAACTGTTTAAATGTAAAAAATAATAATTTCATTTTTATTCTAGTTTTTCTGAAATTATTTTAAAAGAATCAAAATAGACAAAATCTTTATACTTAAGTCAAGCTCAATAAGCTGACAAAAGCTGATTTATTACATATAATAAATTTTAATTAAGTAATTTAAATAAAAAACTAATTTATTACTTAAATTATTTAATTATAACAGCTTTATTTTTTAATTATAATTAAAAATGAAATTATTTATTGAAAATGTATGATCATTTTAAATTGAATTGTAAAACTGCCATTTCATTAACTTTCTTTTTGAAAAGATTTCAATATTTCCTTTCACAACTGACTTCATTACCCACAATAACATTTCAACTTATATAAACCATATGATTAATTTAATCTGATATCCTATTTATCTGAATAGCAACTAACGATTTTAACAAATATAATATTTGATAAATGAAAAGGAAAAAAAACTTTTTGTAAACTATTTAAATTTTTGTTTTTGATGTAAGAGGATATTTTTTCATTGTGGCACAATTAATATTTCAGATTACAAATCTCATTAATAAATTATATTTTGTGATGCATCATAGAGAATATTCTTATATTATTTATTCTATCTATTTTATACTTACCTAGATTCTTCTAATTTAAATTTGTTTTTCAAATATTTAACAATTTGCTTTGCTCTGGTACTGTACATTGATTCACTATGATATTCATCAAAATGAATTCCTAATTTCTGAAAAGAAAGTTAGTAATAACATTCAAATTTAATACTTTTCACATATTTTTACAATAAACACGAATAAAATAGTTGTATCAACTTTAAAAGCATCATGTCTTTTCCTGAGGTTATTTCTCTTTTTATACCTCCACTCCTCATTCCCTCTGTCGATGATTCCGTTCCATGATTGGTGTATTTCCCTTCCTATATTGTTGTTCATTCTATATTTTTGTCTTACTACATGGATGAGTTCATATAATTGCCTTTAAAGTTATTTGAGAGAATTAAAAAGTAATAGAAAGTAAAATAAATTTAATACCAGAAAAAATAAACTCAACTAAAAAATATCTTTATTATAGAAATGATAAAAAATATGAGATAACAGAAGAAAAAGGTGTAGTATTTTCATTTGATTGCAGTTGTGAACAAAAGAAAACATATATTGGGGAAACAAAAAGTAAATTAAAAATATGCATAAAAGAACATATTCACGCCATCAAAAGTAATTATGCAAATTCAGTGGTAGCAGAACATTGTAACACGACAAGATGCTAAATAGATACAAGCACTATAAAAATAAAGAAAAAAGAAAGAAATAATTTTTAAAGGCAATTATATGAACACATCCACAGAGTAAGACAAAAAAATAAAATAAACAACAATACAGGAAGGGAAATACACCAATCATGGAACAGAATAATCAACAGAGGGAGTGAGGGGTGGAGGTATAAAAAAGAGAAATAACCTCAGGATAAGACAATGTTCAAGTGATAGTGGGAGAACAATAATGTAAATTTTAAAAAGTGTTTAAACCAATTTTTATCAATATAACTTATTTTTATTGTTATTGTATACAGGAATATGATTGGATTTATGCTATTTATAGTCTTAAATACTGATGTATTTAAAAATGTATTTATGAATCAAAAAACTGTAAGTTCTATTTTATTTTATTGTTGGAAATTTTTATAATTTTGTAATAATTTTATAATTTGTTTTAGAAATTGTTGGTCATAAACCTGATGAGGGACCAACGGATCCAAAATACAATGATATCATGTAACGTGTTCAGGTGAAAAATAAAGACTTTTTTCTGAACTGTTTTCTTAATTTGGAGAACCAGGTCACCAGTATAATAAGTCCTAGTAATAAATAAGTCCTTGTAGGCAATTTAAGTACAGAAATCTTAAGAGACTGTTAACTAGTGAGAACATACAGGTTAATACAATACTAAAAGTTTTAAAGAACTTGGCAGAGAACAAAAATAATTATCAAAACAATTGGTATAACAAACTTAGGATCAAATTGGCAAGTTATGGTTTGTCTCATTTACTATTTAACAGTACTGAAACAGACTGGAATTACGGAACTTCTTTATTGATGGAGAATATGTATAATAATTCAATTAATCATGAGATGAAAAATTTACAGGAGTCAAAATTTCACCCATGGTATATAGTTAATTTAAATTTCCCTCCAGCAAATAATTATATTCATTATAAAATACCATTTGGAATGAAAAGATTTTATATGCAGATCAGACTAAACAGTTTTTATATTATAGTTGAAGGGAATTATTTGGATATCAGGAATAAACAATGTAGGCTGTGTAATGACCAAATTTCTGTATATCATATAATTAGTTTGTGCAAGGGTTGCTCCAAACTTAGAGAACAGACTGGTATTTCCACCTTGTCAGCCATCAAATCTATGCAAGAATTCTACCAAAAAATNGTCGCTGAAAATAAAAGTATATGAATTATATTTGAATCTTTAGTTTTGAACAATGTTAACTAAATTGCTATCTTAACATTACCAAAAATTTCCAATTTTTAAAAATTTTTAACATGAATAACATAAACCATGAGAAATACAAGATTGTGAACTATAATATACATATATATATAATATATATGGGAAGATTGCATTGTTCACTGATATAGGCATGTTTTAAACAAGAAACCTCAATTGTATAGAAAAGTCTGAGAAATGATAAATATCAATCAGACTGTATGAAAATATTAAGTGTATATAAGATACCCCTCAAGGTTGATAGAGACAAGCAAGAACATGAATATGTTGTTGCCGTGGCAAGATCTTTGTAGAATAGAATTAAAGAGCAGTTTCTATAAACTATCAAAAAGGAATATCTTCCATAGCATTTGTAAGATATGTTATGGAGGAGAAGGTTACTGTGAAGTGTTGGAAATCTATATATCAAGACATAAGGGGAATTCTGAAAACTTTAATGAGGACAGCAATGTATCTAAAAGTATCTTACATGCAAGTAAATACAATAAATTATTATAGATTTTGAAAATGATTCCTTACTTGATGAATTTAACATTGAAATAAAAGCTTTACTTTTAGCTTCTTCTAATAAATCTTTCAGATGCACTAACTTTCCTTTTCTTGTGCTCATTCCTTCAATTTGGCCAAATTTTATATGATGAACTGAACTAAAATTATTTATTAATTTAATAACCATTAAGTTTAAAAATCAAAAATTAGGAAATACAATAAAATAGTACCTATACCAATCATATCCCAATATTTTCAAAATGGCAACAAGGGAAAGAAAATGATCACTTTGGTTATTATCAACCTTTAAAAAATATTTTAAATATTAAAAAAATAATAATAATAAGGTTCATTATATTAATAAACCTGTACTGACAACATAATATGGTTTATCAAAATTATACTTCTCTTTACGATCTAGCACTGCAGCTATGTCTCTACAACAAAAAAATGATAATTACAGTAACCAAAATTAAAATAAATTTGCTAAATAACTAAAAATGTTAACATACCTACTAATATACAATGTCGAACCATCAGTCTTCTCTAATGTAACTGTTAGCTCACGATCAGCATTAACAGGAACTTTAAGTTGAACTAATCCTTCACTATATACACATATATCTAATAATCAGTAATTTTTAACAATATGATTAAATTACAAATCTATAAAAATTTTATATGAAATAATCAATTATTCTATTTTTTGGTTTCTGAATTATTAGTATAGTCTAAATAAAAACATGACAAAGCCAAGATATCATTGTTTTCAAAAATAAATGCATATTTGATATTATTCTTGAATATACCATCAAAATTTTAAATTAGAAACACAGAATTGACATACACAAAAATGATTGCCCCTTAAAATAACATGTTTCTATCAGGTATGTCAAACAAACTATCAGATTATTTATCAGGCTGTAATTAGTCAAGTAATTAATACTTCTGGAAGCAAAGATCAGACAGAAGTCTGGATATTGTAATTGGCAATGCTTCTGCATGGTAAACAGGAATTGTGGGTTCAAGTCCCCACTCTGAACCAATCTTTTCTTCCAGAAAATTCTAAATTTAAATTAAAAATTAAATTTGTCATTAAATGGCAGTCTAACCGCTTAATTATAGACAAATTACTCTATTTCTAATTGTTACATTACTTTGTTACAGCACTATAAATAACCCAGTTGTTTGTTTGGCATATCTAATAGAATTGGGTTGATGTTATGTTGTTATGTGCTTCTATCATTCCAAAATTTCCCCTGTCCAACTCAGTTCAATTTTATAAAGATGTTAAACAACTTTTGATTTACCCTGTATTTTTATAAGACACAAATAATATAATTTTGTATTGTATTATTCAAAAACTAATTTTAAAATGATTTATTAATACATATTTAAAAACAAATATATTCAAATATTCCTGAATTTAATATCTTCACAAATAAATGCTATAAAATTGAAAAAAAGCTTTATTTTATGATAAAAATAGATTTGAAAAATATATTAAAATCATGAAATACTGTTACAATTTTCTCTAAAGCAAGAATAAATAGAAATAACTGACAAAATTAATATATTTCCAATTTCATTATAAAATTTAATATAAACATCCTAATATAATATTGAAAAATCAATATTCCAAGCATAAAGAAAAACTATAATATAAGAAAATAAGTAATAGTCTTATCCTTCTTTTATTGGAAAACTAAAAAGTTTCAATCAATATTACAAGGGCTATTTTTTAAATAAGGTCTGTTTTTTAATAAGAAGAAAAATACTGTAAATATTAAAATATATTTTTTTCCATATTCTACATACTTTTATCTACTTTTCTACATAATTTACATTTTTGTTCAAACGTTTGTCATACCACTCAAAAATTTTAAAATTCCGACTTCAAAGAAATTTGCCGCTGGAAGACATTAGGCCATATCGCTTGTCTTGTATGGCACGGTGGAGTTTTCTAAGGTCACACAATAAGCATCAGTATTGATTGTTGTGCCTCTTGGCATAAAATCCACTAACAAAGTCCCTTTCCTGTCCCAAAAGACAGTTACCATGATCTTTCATGCTAAAATCAAACAACAGATCATATCTTACAGTCGGCAGGCGACTCAGTTTTCTTAAACATTATAAACTTCTACAGTTCAGCACACAGACAGCCAATATGGCTGCAAATGGCATCTAAACACACGCAAAGCATGCTGAAAGCAGATGCTCATGCACACTGCTGCAATCGCGTATCATTCTCACTCTCATTCACAAACAGATCTTATTTAAAAAATAGCCCTCGTATTTATCAATTCCAGTAAACAAGCATTTATTTTTTTTGTAATAATAACAAATCAGACAATGTAATAGTTTTTGAATTTGTAAAAATGTCTTATTTATGTTGTTTAAAGATAACAATTTTTCTTTTGTTATATTGCTATGATTACTCAAGTGTTCTATTCTAAAACTAAAGATGAAGAAAAGATAATTTTGAAACATTTTTTCTTTGTCCTTAGATATATTTATTGATTAAAACTGGCTTGACTCTAGTAGACTCATTTTCATCTGGATTTTGTTCTTAAGATTTGTTTACAAACCATCCAACATTAATATAACTTTATCTTTTTAATATGCTTATTCTATCGTCTATTTAATATAAAAACCAAACACCTTTATAAATCTAGCTACGTTTTACTGAAAAACAAACATTTTTGATTTATATCATAAGTTATCCTCAGGATTATAATTCAATAAGAAACAACATAAACATATTAAAAGAATATATAATATGCTTTATCAAAATTATACTTCTCTTTACGATCTAGCACTGCAGCTATGTCTCTACAACAAAAAAATGATAATTACAGTAACCAAAATTAAAATAAATTTGCTAAATAACTAAAAATGTTAACATACCTACTAATATACAATGTCGAACCATCAGTCTTCTCTAATGTAACTGTTAGCTCACGATCAGCATTAACAGGAACTTTAAGTTGAACTAATCCTTCACTATATACACATATATCTAATAATCAGTAATTTTTAACAATATGATTAAATTACAAATCTATAAAAATTTTATATGAAATAATCAATTATTCTATTTTTTGGTTTCTGAATTATTAGTATAGTCTAAATAAAAACATGACAAAGCCAAGATATCATTGTTTTCAAAAATAAATGCATATTTGATATTATTCTTGAATATACCATCAAAATTTTAAATTAGAAACACAGAATTGACATACACAAAAATGATTGCCCCTTAAAATAACATGTTTCTATCAGGTATGTCAAACAAACTATCAGATTATTTATCAGGCTGTAATTAGTCAAGTAATTAATACTTCTGGAAGCAAAGATCAGACAGAAGTCTGGATATTGTAATTGGCAATGCTTCTGCATGGTAAACAGGAATTGTGGGTTCAAGTCCCCACTCTGAACCAATCTTTTCTTCCAGAAAATTCTAAATTTAAATTAAAAATTAAATTTGTCATTAAATGGCAGTCTAACCGCTTAATTATAGACAAATTACTCTATTTCTAATTGTTACATTACTTTGTTACAGCACTATAAATAACCCAGTTGTTTGTTTGGCATATCTAATAGAATTGGGTTGATGTTATGTTGTTATGTGCTTCTATCATTCCAAAATTTCCCCTGTCCAACTCAGTTCAATTTTATAAAGATGTTAAACAACTTTTGATTTACCCTGTATTTTTATAAGACACAAATAATATAATTTTGTATTGTATTATTCAAAAACTAATTTTAAAATGATTTATTAATACATATTTAAAAACAAATATATTCAAATATTCCTGAATTTAATATCTTCACAAATAAATGCTATAAAATTGAAAAAAAGCTTTATTTTATGATAAAAATAGATTTGAAAAATATATTAAAATCATGAAATACTGTTACAATTTTCTCTAAAGCAAGAATAAATAGAAATAACTGACAAAATTAATATATTTCCAATTTCATTATAAAATTTAATATAAACATCCTAATATAATATTGAAAAATCAATATTCCNATAATAACCAGAGAAAATACTTATTCAAATAAAACTATTAATTTAAATATTTACCACTCACCTGAACACTATTACTTAATTAAATACATAAAACTGATCTCTATGTATAATCACTATAACTGTTTAAATGTAAAAAATAATAATTTCATTTTTATTCTAGTTTTTCTGAAATTATTTTAAAAGAATCAAAATAGACAAAATCTTTATACTTAAGTCAAGCTCAATAAGCTGACAAAAGCTGATTTATTACATATAATAAATTTTAATTAAGTAATTTAAATAAAAAACTAATTTATTACTTAAATTATTTAATTATAACAGCTTTATTTTTTAATTATAATTAAAAATGAAATTATTTATTGAAAATGTATGATCATTTTAAATTGAATTGTAAAACTGCCATTTCATTAACTTTCTTTTTGAAAAGATTTCAATATTTCCTTTCACAACTGACTTCATTACCCACAATAACATTTCAACTTATATAAACCATATGATTAATTTAATCTGATATCCTATTTATCTGAATAGCAACTAACGATTTTAACAAATATAATATTTGATAAATGAAAAGGAAAAAAAACTTTTTGTAAACTATTTAAATTTTTGTTTTTGATGTAAGAGGATATTTTTTCATTGTGGCACAATTAATATTTCAGATTACAAATCTCATTAATAAATTATATTTTGTGATGCATCATAGAGAATATTCTTATATTATTTATTCTATCTATTTTATACTTACCTAGATTCTTCTAATTTAAATTTGTTTTTCAAATATTTAACAATTTGCTTTGCTCTGGTACTGTACATTGATTCACTATGATATTCATCAAAATGAATTCCTAATTTCTGAAAAGAAAGTTAGTAATAACATTCAAATTTAATACTTTTCACATATTTTTACAATAAACACGAATAAAATAGTTGTATCAACTTTAAAAGCATCATGTCTTTTCCTGAGGTTATTTCTCTTTTTATACCTCCACTCCTCATTCCCTCTGTCGATGATTCCGTTCCATGATTGGTGTATTTCCCTTCCTATATTGTTGTTCATTCTATATTTTTGTCTTACTACATGGATGAGTTCATATAATTGCCTTTAAAGTTATTTGAGAGAATTAAAAAGTAATAGAAAGTAAAATAAATTTAATACCAGAAAAAATAAACTCAACTAAAAAATATCTTTATTATAGAAATGATAAAAAATATGAGATAACAGAAGAAAAAGGTGTAGTATTTTCATTTGATTGCAGTTGTGAACAAAAGAAAACATATATTGGGGAAACAAAAAGTAAATTAAAAATATGCATAAAAGAACATATTCACGCCATCAAAAGTAATTATGCAAATTCAGTGGTAGCAGAACATTGTAACACGACAAGATGCGAAATAGATACAAGCACTATAAAAATAAAGAAAAAAGAAAGAAATAATTTTTAAAGGCAATTATATGAACACATCCACAGAGTAAGACAAAAAAATAAAATAAACAACAATACAGGAAGGGAAATACACCAATCATGGAACAGAATAATCAACAGAGGGAGTGAGGGGTGGAGGTATAAAAAAGAGAAATAACCTCAGGATAAGACAATGTTCAAGTGATAGTGGGAGAACAATAATGTAAATTTTAAAAAGTGTTTAAACCAATTTTTATCAATATAACTTATTTTTATTGTTATTGTATACAGGAATATGATTGGATTTATGCTATTTATAGTCTTAAATACTGATGTATTTAAAAATGTATTTATGAATCAAAAAACNCCCTTAGATACAATTTTGTACAGTAGAGCGTTGATTATCCGAATCAATTGGGGACTGGGGTTGTTTGAAAGATCGATGTTTCGGATAACTGAGTATGTATGAAAAAATATATTAATTTATCTCATCTTGACATTTTTCTCCGTTGCGTGTCGCTTCGCGTTGAATTTTCGTCGATGTTAAGCCTAACGAAGACTATTGTATCGTTAAAAATTATTTTTTTATTTTGTACGAATAAAATAAATATATTGAAAAATATAAAAACAATAAAAATTATACTTCAGAAGTTAATTTAGTATCAAAAACGTAAAATGTTTGAGTAGCCCAAGACATAGCCAAAGATTGCAGTGCCACAGCACTGGCAAAAATTTAAATTTGCCGACTGGAATTCTTTCAGATGATTGACGTTTCGGATGATTGACTTTCAGATAATCGACGCTCTACTGTACTTATTTATAATATGCTATATAGTGATGGGGCAATTAATCATAATCGAGCAAATCTCATCATGATTGCTGTTTCTTAAAGCAATTCTTCCACTTTTAATAAGAAAATAAATTATTTGTTTCAGTTGAAAATTAAAAATTTCTATGTTGTTTTTGAAACCGTGTTTGATAAATATACAATTTTTTTTTGTGAATTTGGATTTTGAGATGTTACCAGCACGTTATGCAAATTCTTAGCTGTTTTGCTACAACAGCGATAAATCCACCCCTACTGGCAAATTTAGGTACTACTTTTTTTTTCTTCGTGGAATCTCTTTCCCATGTCGTCCTTAGTCACTCCCAAATTTGGCGATAGTCCGGCTGTTAGATTGCTCTACAGATGTCTCTAAGTACCATCAGTTTAAAAAAACACCCTGTATTATTGTGAAATAATTAATCTTGATTTACATGTGCAGTCCAAGAACACAAGTCAACATAAATTATAACCATCTGTCAATATAACAGAGAGATATTTTATTTCAATAAATAAGTAAAGTCAATTTTAATTTGAATAATATCTGCCATCAAACAGCAGACACTACTACTACTCAAGGATTTTTGAAAACTTATGAAAACAATGTAAAATTAATAAATATTGTAAATTACAGTAACTCCATACTGTATTTATTTAACAAACTTCAATAAAAAATGCTAGATTAAAAATCTAAAATATACAGATGATGTATTTTTTACATACTGGTATATGTTTCTTTATAATGACTGTAACAGTCATTATAAAGAAACATAACCTACCAGTTGTCATTTCAAGTAGCTAATAATTTGCTTTAAAAATCAAGCTTTCATACATAAATAAATACTTTATTAATAAAGGGTATTAAATAGATAGATGAAAAGAAAATAATAATTGCCCTTAATAATAACCAGAGAAAATACTTATTCAAATAAAACTATTAATTTAAATATTTACCACTCACCTGAACACTATTACTTAATTAAATACATAAAACTGATCTCTATGTATAATCACTATAACTGTTTAAATGTAAAAAATAATAATTTCATTTTTATTCTAGTTTTTCTGAAATTATTTTAAAAGAATCAAAATAGACAAAATCTTTATACTTAAGTCAAGCTCAATAAGCTGACAAAAGCTGATTTATTACATATAATAAATTTTAATTAAGTAATTTAAATAAAAAACTAATTTATTACTTAAATTATTTAATTATAACAGCTTTATTTTTTAATTATAATTAAAAATGAAATTATTTATTGAAAATGTATGATCATTTTAAATTGAATTGTAAAACTGCCATTTCATTAACTTTCTTTTTGAAAAGATTTCAATATTTCCTTTCACAACTGACTTCATTACCCACAATAACATTTCAACTTATATAAACCATATGATTAATTTAATCTGATATCCTATTTATCTGAATAGCAACTAACGATTTTAACAAATATAATATTTGATAAATGAAAAGGAAAAAAAACTTTTTGTAAACTATTTAAATTTTTGTTTTTGATGTAAGAGGATATTTTTTCATTGTGGCACAATTAATATTTCAGATTACAAATCTTATTAATAAATTATATTTTGTGATGCATCATAGAGAATATTCTTATATTATTTATTCTATCTATTTTATACTTACCTAGATTCTTCTAATTTAAATTTGTTTTTCAAATATTTAACAATTTGCTTTGCTCTGGTACTGTACATTGATTCACTATGATATTCATCAAAATGAATTCCTAATTTCTGAAAAGAAAGTTAGTAATAACATTCAAATTTAATACTTTTCACATATTTTTACAATAAACACGAATAAAATAGTTGTATCAACTTTAAAAGCATCATGTCTTTTCCTGAGGTTATTTCTCTTTTTATACCTCCACTCCTCATTCCCTCTGTCGATGATTCCGTTCCATGATTGGTGTATTTCCCTTCCTATATTGTTGTTCATTCTATATTTTTGTCTTACTACATGGATGAGTTCATATAATTGCCTTTAAAGTTATTTGAGAGAATTAAAAAGTAATAGAAAGTAAAATAAATTTAATACCAGAAAAAATAAACTCAACTAAAAAATATCTTTATTATAGAAATGATAAAAAATATGAGATAACAGAAGAAAAAGGTGTAGTATTTTCATTTGATTGCAGTTGTGAACAAAAGAAAACATATATTGGGGAAACAAAAAGTAAATTAAAAATATGCATAAAAGAACATATTCACGCCATCAAAAGTAATTATGCAAATTCAGTGGTAGCAGAACATTGTAACACGACAAGATGCTAAATAGATACAAGCACTATAAAAATAAAGAAAAAAGAAAGAAATAATTTTTAAAGGCAATTATATGAACACATCCACAGAGTAAGACAAAAAAATAAAATAAACAACAATACAGGAAGGGAAATACACCAATCATGGAACAGAATAATCAACAGAGGGAGTGAGGGGTGGAGGTATAAAAAAGAGAAATAACCTCAGGATAAGACAATGTTCAAGTGATAGTGGGAGAACAATAATGTAAATTTTAAAAAGTGTTTAAACCAATTTTTATCAATATAACTTATTTTTATTGTTATTGTATACAGGAATATGATTGGATTTATGCTATTTATAGTCTTAAATACTGATGTATTTAAAAATGTATTTATGAATCAAAAAACTGTAAGTTCTATTTTATTTTATTGTTGGAAATTTTTATAATTTTGTAATAATTTTATAATTNTTTTTTTATAATTTATGGATTCTATATTGTTTACTTACTTAAAAATCTCATTCCAAAACCTGAAGTTAATTATCTACTCAGTTAAAAACATTTGTTTCTATTAAAAAAACTATTACTATATTAGTAAATTTTGCTTGAAAAACTTTTAAAACATTTTTAAATAAATGGTATTTGTTTAGTTTCCAGTTAAAGTTTAAAGTTTATCACAATGAGGAATAATTTAAGAAATATCATATGCATATATAGATAAATATCTCACCTCATAAACAGTTTTATATTCTTTAATACTTAAATCTTTAAACAATTTCCATCGATCTAATAATTTTTCATTTCCTGAGTAGAAAAAAGTTTATGTATGGATCAAATATTTAAAGTTAAATTTATGAAGTTTGTAAAACATACAAGTTTATTTATAACAATATCAGAATATACTTATTTTCATATCTGTGAAAATGATAAATATGCTAATAAACTAGAATTGAATTGAATTGAATTTAAGTACAGAAACACATCTCATTAAATTTTCAGTCAGAAAAACATTTATAAAAAAAATTCTTATCATACAGAATGGCAAAATATAATCTTGTGGATCTTTAATCTTTAATCTAATCTTGTGGATGTAGCTAGGAATTTAAATAAAATATTGCTCTAAAGCAGAGTTTATTATTATTTTTAATACAAAAACTATATTTTTCAGCTAAATTGAAAACTTATTTCTGCAACATCAAAAATTTAGTTTTTTGTACACAAGATACAGTATATACAAACATCCTAGAGATATATTAGATACTTGTAAAAAACATACATTTTTTTTTCTATGCAACAATTATATATATAAAACAGAGAAATATTAGTAAACTACTAATGTAGGAAGGTTGAAGAACATGTTCTATTTTTATTTAAAAATGACATAAAAATGATGTCAATAATATTTTTATATATGTAAGAAACCAAACATTGATAGTTTTGTAGATAACATAAAAGATAAATTTTGGCTCTTTACAAGCAGACCAAGTGAATCATAAATTATTACATTTTCTAGATATAATCAATTGAACAGAAAAATAACATCAGAACTAAGGTATATGGTAAACATATGTACTGTAAGGAACCAAGTCCGAACGTTATTTTTATTTACTTTTATTTTGCTTATTATTCTATTTTTGTTTGGGGCTTATGTTTTGTTAGGACGAAGTTTCCTCACCATTCACCTTAGTAACTTAAAAATAGAAGAAAAACCAACTCACCAACGAAAGAAAAGCGCCGTAGAAAACTCGCGCACACTTGCGCTTCCCAAGCGGAAAAAAGTAAGTCCGCACCGAGAAAAAGGGGGGGAAGACCCCACAACCCAGTTAGGAATCGCTAAACCTTAAAAGAATAAAGCATCCCGATAATTGTTAAAAAGAATAATGTAAAAGGTTAGCGAAGTATTGTCGGAAAATAATCTGCCAGATAAACAAGAAAAATTTAATGTTACAGATAAGTATGTAAATGAGGAGAGTGAGCTCATTCAGAATTGTGACGTCACCTCACACTATAAAGCCTCTAACTCAAGTGAAAACGAACGAGGTGAATTCCTGATAGCAACGAGCTTTGGTGAGCTTCGTAGCAGTGAACGAGAGAGGTGTCCGATAGGATTTTGAAGTTATTCGATTTGTGGATCGACGATTATAGAAAGTCTTGAGAGTTTGAGGAAATAGGTTCCTAGTATATTGAGGTGACGATTAGGATCTTTAATTTATAAGAATTATTGTTTATAAGTTAATTCTTTGATTTTGTCGAATTCCAAAGGGGAATAGAATTAAGTTAGAAATAGATTGATTTGAGTTTGTCGGATTGATTCTTGTTGAATTTCATTGAATAAATTATTGTTTGATTTTTACTAAATACTGTATATAGTTTATTACTAGAAGTTTAATTAAATATTTGATTTTGTTATTGACAAACTTTGTCATTATTTAATTCGGTGCACGCTTAAAGTCCAGGCCTGGCACACTAACGCGAATCCGTGTAAAGTACCCGTTAGGGAACGGCTATTTCCGGCACACAGTAGTGTCGATAATCGTTGGAAAGTCGGAAAAATAATATAGTACTTTACAGTACTATACTTTCCTGTTTACATTATTAAAAATTCATATGATCTATAATACTTATATCCAACTGGCAACACTAAGAAGAAAAAAATTATATAAAGTTTAGCACTTATTAATGTATATAAAACCATTATATTATGTTTTTAAAAAGGACCTTTAAGACACAATAGAAATACATTTGTAAATTATTCTATGGCATATTCTTTAGTTATAAAGTGATAAAGATTTAATTAATGCATCTGAGATATCAGGAATACACAAATATTCTGCACAGACTAAGTACATTTATAAATTCATTTATCCAAACATTTTATATAAATAAATAATAAGTTTCTTACATTACAGAAATTTATTATTTATTAGTNTTTTTTTATAATTTATGGATTCTATATTGTTTACTTACTTAAAAATCTCATTCCAAAACCTGAAGTTAATTATCTACTCAGTTAAAAACATTTGTTTCTATTAAAAAAACTATTACTATATTAGTAAATTTTGCTTGAAAAACTTTTAAAACATTTTTAAATAAATGGTATTTGTTTAGTTTCCAGTTAAAGTTTAAAGTTTATCACAATGAGGAATAATTTAAGAAATATCATATGCATATATAGATAAATATCTCACCTCATAAACAGTTTTATATTCTTTAATACTTAAATCTTTAAACAATTTCCATCGATCTAATAATTTTTCATTTCCTGAGTAGAAAAAAGTTTATGTATGGATCAAATATTTAAAGTTAAATTTATGAAGTTTGTAAAACATACAAGTTTATTTATAACAATATCAGAATATACTTATTTTCATATCTGTGAAAATGATAAATATAGATTAAATGATTTTTAATTATTTGTAAAGTTTAAAATATTCCATTATATTATACACCAATAATGTAAGAAAACTTTAAACTTTTTATCACAATGTATTTAAAACTAAAATAATAATAATTATATACAGAGCAATTAAATACTATGCAAATTAAAACGTAATGCCATAATTTTGTATGTAGAAATGTAGAAGCATCATTTATTAATATTTTGCATTTTGTAGACAAAAAAATCTTTTAGACTAAAATATTTTTAGAAAATTTAAATTTTCTAATTTTATTTCAAAGGAGAAATTTTTAACTTTAGAATAAGAGTGAAAACAAATTATATAAAATAATTTAGAAATTTATTGGTAAAACCTGATTTCTGAACAAATTTACTGATATTAAACAAATTATTTGTTTTAATATTAAAAGATTTTTTCATAAGATTAATAATAAAAATGCTTGGTTTTGAACATGTTGAAATAATTTTCAAGTCTTCAAACACAATAGATAAAAACACAGAAATTCTATGATTATATGTAATAAGTTACAAAATCTTTTTTGTTTATATCAAATCAGTCAATATTTCATTTCATTAAAAAAAAAAAAACTCATCTTTTCATTGATAAATTTACATTAATCAATTAATGAAAACCCAAATAATTTTTTAAGTGAAATAAAATACTAAATTTACTGTTAATTTTTACAGTGGTGCCTTGTATAATGTACTTAATCTGTTCCAGGTGCATGTCCGTTAAGTGAAAAGTCTGTTATACAAAACACAGTTTTCCATAGAAATACATGTTAAAACATAATTCATTCTGCAGCATAAAATAACTGTACTGTTCCATAAAAAAATGAAAATGGAGCAGTCACCAATTATGCCAGGTAGTCAGATGTTGTGAGGAGGAGGTGAAGGAACACTTTCTTTACACATTCATACAGATACAGACTTTTTACACATTGCAGCAGGTCTCTTTTTATTGTTTTTTAATTAGATTCAGATTCAGGAGAGGCTACCAAAGCTTGCAGGGTCAACTCTTCTTGTTCCATCCTTTGTTTTTTGGCAGCTTGCTTCTTGAAAAACATGTCCAAGGTGGTCTGTTTCTCTCTCTTCTTCAACACCTGTCAAAAATGATGGGCAAGGGTGTCATTGTAGAGATCATTGATCCTGTTGGCCTCAGCTCTGTTTGGATAATGAGTGTTGGTAAACTCCTGAACCTCTCCCCATTTGACAAGGAAGTTTTTGTCAACTTTCACTCCTTCTGATGATTTCTTGCTTTGTATCAATTGAAATCACCTTTCTGTTTTTTTAGAAGCCATGATTTGCACAACACTTGAATAAATGTAAATACTCTGCACTGAGGTGATGTACAGTACATAATAAACAAGGGAGCAAGCCGAATCTCAGCAAGAGCTCTGTATTTCAGATATACTAATAATATATTCTAATAATACTGTACTAATATATAAAAATAGCAGATTGTCATTGACAACGGCAAAAGAGTGGAAACATCATTCGCACTTGTTCGCAGAAAGTCCATTGTTCGCCTCATGTAATTGCTGAACAGAAAGTCCGTTGTTCGAATCACGTAAAGGCCAAACAGAAAGTCCGTTGTTAGCAACATCTGTTATTCGAGGCATATGTTATATGAGGCACCACTGTATATAATAAATCCAGAATTTGTTATAAAAACCTATATATTACAGATTATTTAATGAGGAAACTGTTTAATATTAGGAAAGATTATTATTCATTTGCTTGCTTAAACCAAAAGTGAACTTAAATATTCCAAACTAGTCTAAGATATTTGTTTCTTACATAAAAATAATAATCATAAAAACTTTCTAAGATTGTAGCTAAATAAAATACAATATATTGACTAGTAAATTTTTATTCTCAAAAAATAATTTTTGTTAGTATAATAAATACTATATTAAGTTTTAATCTGTTATAAAATTGGTACAAAATATTAATAAAAAAATTAATGTTTTAAAATAAATTTAGATAGAATTCATAAATACAGATTGTTAAAAATTAATAAAATGAATGTGTTATCAAAATTCTTAATTTTAATAATCTTAATGGTTAACTTTCATTAATATTCTTTACATAAAAATATAAAACAAATTCAATTCTTTGTAAGGAAATCTAAAAATGCACATTGAAAATATTATAATTATGAAAACAAGTTAACAAAAATGAAAGAAAAAATTTGTAATATTTGTAAAATTAATTCTGTCAGAAGAATAATTTAAATATATTAATTGCTATATAAGAAATTATATAGTTATTATTTACTTTTTAATCTAGATTAATTTTGGAGTTTCAAAATTAAACTACAGTATCTTTGAGAAAAACTACCAATTTATATATAAATTCATACCATTTTCCATTAAAGAAAAATGTTTCCGAGCTTTATCCTGAAATATTGGATCTTCATTTGCTCGTTTACTTGCTGCTATATATACCTAAAATTAATTATTGTAAAATAAATATATTGATCTATCAGAAATAATTAATAAAAACTTGATTTCAGAAATTGAAAAAATTGTTGCTATTAAGAATATCCTTTAAATAAGCCAGTCAATTAATAAAATTAAAAAAATATACAGATGAGTCTGCATAAGTCAACATCCCAGGAAAAGTGGAAATGTGTCAAGTTATCTGATATGACAACTAAAACAAAGTTGCAAAGAAAAAAAAACCACACACAAAACAACAATTAGGAAAACACAGTAATGTTTTATACAGTACTATAGGCTTACAATACATTGTGTACTCCATTTACAATAATGCTGTAGATCAGAGATGTCCAACCTGCAGCCTACACTGTGGCCCACTGCACCCTAAACTTTTCAGGTACATTCTCATTTATTTTGGTAAATTATGCCATAAAAATTATTCTTGTTTCACTGGATATAATTTGATGTCGTACTGATGTAATTGGTGACATAATTTGTAACTAACCAATCAAAAAATTTGATGGCGTGGTCTGTCATTTTGATTGTTTCAGTTTTAAAGATTTTTATAATGAAGTGATGTTGTTAGTGATAAAGAATGGTTACCTTTCATCAGGTAAATGAAAAAGACATAATTTCTCTTTTCAAAAGAGTGTCAGCCATTTTTAGTGAATCGAGGTTAGGCGCAATGCCAAAGTGGAAGGGGCTAATTTACTCTTTATTTATTTCTAATTACAGATATATAATACAGACATAGGTCTATCTATATATTTCTTTTGCTAATGTAATAATTTAAATATTTTCAATCTCCAATTATATTCATACTTATTTCATCAACTTTAAATTTATATTTTTAATAACTCAACATTTGGTCATGGCATCTAATACTAAGAAAAGAAAAATAACAGAAGAGAGAAAATTCAATATCTTTCGAGCAAGAAAATATTTTGTAATTGAAACATGCATTATTATTATCTGCCTTATTTGTCATGATAAAATTGCCATGTGTAAGGAATATAATATTAAGTGTCACTATGCTACCAAACATGAGTCAGAATGTAATAAATTAAACGAAGAAAGAAGAAAAATGAAACTAGACTAATTGAAAAAGCAGTTTAGTTCTCAATAAAACATTCTCAAAAAATCTGTTGTTAAAACTGATAACTAACTTTTGTACATATATTTAATAGCTGAAAAATTGGCTCAGAAGGTTAAGCCATTGGAAGATGGTGAATTAATAAAAAATGTATTGTAACTGCTTTTAATGAATATTGTCCCAAGAAAGTGAATTTATTCAATGAAACAATTGGTATAAGAATTGATGACATAGATGACAATATTGTGAGTACATTGCAGACCCAATTATCTAAATGCGTTCAGTACTTTCATCCACTACTAAACTGTAATGATCAAAGTAACACTGTACAATTGATTATTTTCATCAGAGGAATTGATGTCAATTTTAATATAATTGAAGAAATGTTGAACTTATGCCATATGAAGGAACAACAACTGGCAGTGATATACTTGAACACTTTAATTTAGTCATTGAAAAGTTCAATATTGATAGAAATAAAATTTATTTGATTACAACTGATGGTGCTCTTGCATTAATTGGTAAAAATGAAGGATTTATTACTATATTCAAAGAAATGGTTGATCATGATTCATCAACAGCAATTATGTGTTCAAAAGTTAAATATGAATCAGTTGATGATAGATTTTGTGAAAGTTGTGAATTTTATCAGATCTTGGGGCTTGATCCATCGTGAGCTCAAAGCATACTTGGAAGAAATTAGCAGTGAGTATGAAGATGTTATTTATTTCTCAAAAGTCAGTTGGCTCAGTAAAACAGCAACTTTGAAAAGATTTTAATTATTGTTACCTGAAATAAGAATTCATATAAAGCAAGAAGCAAAATGTAGATTTTTTAGAAAATGAAGAATGGTTGAATGATCTTGCCTTCTTAGTAGATATCACTGAAATGTTGTCCAAACTTAATTTACATTTATAAGGAAAAGACCAGTTATGTTGCACAATGTTTGATCAAATAATTGGTTTTACTAAGAAGTTACAACTTTTAATAACACAATTGAAAGCTGGTGAAATTGTGCATTTTCAGAGTTTATTAAAAAGAAAAAATAATTTCCTGTGAACATTAAAAAATATAGTAAATTATGTGAAGTTTTGTTAAAACATTTAACAACCAGATTTTCTGACTTCAGAAAAATAGAAACTTAATTAAAATTGTTTAGTGATCTACTTTCATTTAATTATGCAGAAGCACTATCCAACTACTAGCTAGAACTCATTGAACCTTAAAGCAGGGAATCTTTGAAAACTTATCATAGAGCATTCTCTTCTTGAATTTTATAAAGAAGTTCATTCGATGAATTTGATGAAATTCAATTTATCTAGAAAGCTTATGCATGTGGGATAGTACAGTACATACTGTTGTGAACAATTCTTTTTGTACACGAAAAACATCAAAACTACTGACAGAAATAGGTTGAGTGATTCCCATTTAACATTCTTAGAATTAAGACTAGTACCATAAAAGCAGATATTGGCAATATTATAAAAAGAAGGTAATGTCAAAAATCACATTGAATATTTTTTATTTTTATTTTGTGTGAGTATAATTTACTTTTTTACTGTCAATAATACAGTATTTTTTGTAATTATAAAATAATTTGTTATTCACATTTTAAACTTTTTAAAAGCATAAATTTATATAAAGTACCTTTGTGGCCCACTGAATATACCTAAATTTCTAATTTGGCCCATTAGGAAAAAAAGTTGGACAATCCTGCTGTAGATGATAAACTGAAAAATTTGTTTAGTGTTTTGAGTGCTTAACTGTCTCAACTTTCTTTTCAACAATCGTGAATGCCTTGAAAACATCTTCGCAACTGTCAATTGTTGGCAAGTAACATCTAAGGATTCTTAATGTTTCCAGCTCATTGGTTTTGGGGTTGGCTTTTCTAGTGATTCATTCTCTTCACCTCCAGATTCATCACTCTTGTCCTGAATTTCTGTGACAATATCGACAACACTCACTGAGGAGCAAACTTCCATGCGATCATCCACTGTGCTGTAGTCAGTTTCATCTACAGAGGCAGTTTCTTGTAGATCATGGCAGTGTTGCAGCAGTTCATCTAATTAAACATTCTGTTCTTCATCCTTATCTTCATCTTGAACTGTCACTGTAGAATGAAATCCTGCATGTTTAAAGCAGTTTGCAATGATTAAGCATGTTTACATTTTCCCACGCAATCTTCACATAATGAATTGAATCTAACAGGAAAATGTCAGTCGATTTTCTGCTGTAAACAATCTATTCAAAATTCTAATTGTGTAAACTACAGGTATACCTTGCCTTACGTCGGTAATTGGTTCCAGGAGAACGACTTAAGTTGAAAAACGACATAAGTCGAATTTACTTGTCACTAGGCTAAACCATAAATTGCCAATTCCTGTTCTGTATTTTATTTATTAATGCATTTTTAATAATGTATGGTTAATAAGGATCTATTTTAAGCTTACAAACAAATAAATTTTAGTTTTTAATATAGTACAGAAAAAAGTAATCTAAATTTACGAATACTTGTGGCGCAAATACAGTACATACTTGTAAATGTATATATTTTAATATGATTTTATGTGCTTTAAACATTTTTCTAGTGATATTACTACTTCAATATTTGTGGCAGACAGATGTAAAGTCAAATAAAATGATTTAAACTTGATTTTTATTTTTCCATATACTTTTTTGACAAACGACGTATAATTGGGAACAACGTAACTTGAAATAACGTAAGTCGAGGTATACCTGTATTGTGTCACATTTCTTTCCATTTGTGTTTCTTTTTTAAAATTAATTTTTTTTTGTTTTCATTTAATGACCTCTACAGCCACTCATACCAACACATACAAAAATCAATTTTTTGAAAAATAAACCAGTAGATTCAAATAGCCCTAAGGCTTAAATAAAACCACATCCAAAATAAATTTTAAAAAATAGACTTAAAGTGGATCTATTTGAGTGGTAATCTATATTCAAACAATGAGAAAAATTGTTATAAATTGTCCTATAAAGGGCATTGTCCAATCATTTAAGTAATTATTATTATTAAACACTGTAAATTCCCTCGTCAAGCATCACGAAATACTTTTTATGAGAAAGTAGAGCTTAAAGAATTGAGAAAAATAGAGATACATCTTGTTAGATTGTTACTTCCGAGTGGATAATATGTCACTTGGTCACTATGAAAAGATTTTTAAAAAATTTGTTATAGAAGTGACATGATGCAGCTATCTTTTCTAAAGTTTAAATTTAATGAAGTAAGTTTAAAATATGTCATTTTCCAAAATATTTAAAAATGCAACTTAAAGGAAATTCTGTCATCAAGCACAAACTAAATGAGGTCACTGATGTCACTGCAACATAAGTGCAATCACTGATCAGAAATTGATAAAACACATATTCTATAGCTAATATTTCCACAAAATAAGTAGTCTATACTTTCTGCCAGAACATAAAATAAATATAACCAAAATTTCATCTGGATTGGACAAAAACTGCAGGAGTTATAAGGAATTCACACACACACAATGGCTTTTATATTATTGCACATATAACCAATATCCAGTAAGAAGAAACTACAAGAAAGCAAACATTTTCATCTGTGTTTAACAGGTATTGTCAAGATAACTGACACTGATGCATTTGTACTGCAAAGGTCAGTTAGCCTGATGATAAAAACATATTAAAAGACATATATTACTTATAGATATTAAAATATAGCTATTTTACTTGTAGTAAATGATTTATTGGGTCTTTTTGTAATTCTTCTTCAGAACCAAATTCTTCAAATCCTGCACTAACTAAACCTGAAATTTCCAATATATAAAATATTTTAAAAACTTGAATATTTTATTTTAAAAAAACAATAAATTAGTAAATTGTAAATTTTGTTGGTTTTGAAGAAAATAGCAAATTTCATAAAATTAAAATGAATGCAAATTTTCAAATTCCTTAATTCCTTTTAAAATATTAAGTAATATATAAAATATCTAAATTTACCATATTGAGTTCCCCAATCACCAAGATAGTTTATTCTTGTAACTTTATGTCCAAGAAATTCATGAAGATTTGCTATAAAATTTCCAATAATTGTTGATCGCAAATGTCCAGCATGAAACGATTTAGCAATATTTGGTGAACTAAAAATATATATTGAAATGTTAATAATTAGCAATTATTATGTTTCTTAATGTTAAAACTATTTTAAAAATTACATCCTTAAGAATTTCACTTTTGAACTTTTTCAGAATACATCTTCAAAATACACATTAAAAAAGTTACATTTTTCTTCTGGACATAAAATATATTCAAGAAGTTCTTAAGAATTTACTGGGCTGCAATTTGAAAATTGCAGCCCAGTAAATTTGTCCTTTCTACTATCATCCATTTGTCTGTCCCTCATTAATCTCAAGAACAGAGTTAGATAAGATGAAAATTAATTGAGACCAGATACAGAAAGCTTATTAAAATATGATTAAAATTGCAGCCCAGCTTTATGCCAATGTTACAATAAGTAATTGCTCATTATAAACTGATTTACTGTATTTCAGAAAATAATCATTTAAATATTTCTGTAAGAACTAAGAAGTTAAATAACAAGTTATTTGCATTTTGAATATAATTAAAATCATTAACATTTATTCATTATTTTAATCCAAAACAACATTCTTATACAAAAGTTTAAAATTATTTTTAAAAGTTTTTAAAGGTCATATAACTGAATTTCTTAGTCCCACTGTTATGATGTTATTTATTTCTCAAAAGTCAGTTGGCTCAGTNACTATTTTTAATTCTTTATTCATTATTGAATTTATCAATAAATAACAGATTAAATTATTTCATCAATTATTGCTTATTTCATATTTCAGTAATTTTATTTGAAAGAATGGTTTATGTTTTAGATATATAAGATGTAACTTAATTGGAAAATTAAAGACAAGCATGTGAAAACATGGGTTTTGTCACTTTTCACTTTGATTTAATTAAAAACTATTATTGTCTTTATTTTAATATATAACTTAAAGCATATTCTATGTAAAGTGTTACAAGCTAATAACTTGATCAATGAAAATTATCTTTTCTTGTTTCTAAAGTACTGAAGATTTCAAAACTTTAGATGATAATTTGCATTTTCCTTAAAATTACTTATCTATATGGAAGAGACAATATTAATTCACTTGCTGTGAAAAATTACTTCTTTTTTTATTACTTTAAGTGCTATTTTAGAGATACAGTAAAGCGTCGATTATCCAAATGTCAATCAACCAAAGTGTCAATTATCCGAATGTTGATCAACCGAAATGTCAGTTAACTGAAAGCATTCCAGTCAAACTGTGTCGTGCTGGTTCGAAAATTTTTGATGCTAGATTAACTTCTAAAGTATAATTTTTTTGTTTTTATATTTTTCAATATATTTATTTTGTTTGTACAAAATAAAAAAACTAATTTTTAACGATATAATAACTATGATTATTATTATAAAAATTTTTGTTAGGCTTAACAAAAATTCAACGCAAAGCAACACGCAACGGAGAAAAATTTAAACATGGCATATATTAATATACTATTATTGGGATATACTAATATACTATATTAATAATGTATTTTTTCGTACATAATTGGTTATCCAAAAAATCGATTTTCCGAACAATCCCAGTCCCCAATTGATTCGGATAATTGACGCTCTACTGTATTATTATGTACAGTACAATCAATTAAACAGGCATTGGCTCAGTATAATTATGTATATAAAATATGCTTTAGAATTTTTGCAGATATATTATTTAATCTTGTTATTTTATTCGTAAATCATCACTGTATGTATTTTATGAAGATATCTATAGCAATAAATTATTGAATTTAAAGTATATTTGAGAATATGAATTTGAACACTAAAGAACTAGTACTTTGTTGAATTTCTTATACTTATCATTATATCAAAACATCATTATGAACATTAAATTTGTGAATAATTACACAATTCTTAATATATGACTCATCAGATATTGATATTATAAATGTAATGTTATTTATTTCAAACAACTTCTTTTGCTTCCAATCTCTATACATAGAACATTTTAAAACAGTATTATTTCAGAATTTCATTATGCATGAAATATTTTCAATTGTATTATATAGTTAAAATTTTTCAGTAAAAAGTTATGCATGCACACAATTAAAAATTAAAAGATTAAAGATGAATCATAGACAGTGTAAAAAATATTTCTAAATTTCAAATGCTGTAGCAAAATGTTTGCTTCATATTATAATAGCAACAAAAATTTAAAACTTTAAAAGTCATTTTGATGAATATACTCAATTTTTTGAATGTAATACAGGATTTATTTATTTATTTTATTAATAATATTGATATTTCTTTTATAATTTTTATTATTCTTATTTGAGATTTCTCACATTTTAAATTTTTACGTAATAGTTTTCCATTGAAGCAAGTTCAATATACTTTCGTTAATAATACTTTTCAGGATTACTTCTATAAATTTAAAAAAATTTTATATTAATAATATTTCAAATAGCAGTGTAATATAAGTATTAAAAAAATTAGTAAGTACAGGTATACCTCGCCTTACGTCGTTAATTGGTTCCAGGAAAACGACGTAAGTCGAATTTACCTGTCTCCGAATCTACTTATCACTAGGAAAGTATTTTAAATAATATATGGTTAATAAAAATCTATTTTAAGCTTACAAACAAATAAATTTTAGTTTTTAATATAGTACAAAAAAAGTAATCTAAATTTACGAATGCGTGTACTGTAAATACAGTACATACTTGTATATATTTTAATATGATTTTATGTGCTTTAAACGTTTATCTAGTGATATTACGACTTCAATATTTGTGGCGGACAGACGTAAAGTCGAATAAAATGACTTAAACTTGATTTTTATTTTTCCATATACTTTTTTAACAAGCGACGTATAATCGGGAACGACGTAACTCGAAACCGACGTAAGTCGAGGTATGCCTGTATTTTATTTGAGAATTTATAATATTTTCCAAAGAAATGAGAATGACACAAATACGTACATAGCCAATGATCACATTAAACGTATCTATATATATATATATCAAGCTTTGGGTTGTTTACTATACTTATATAGACACAAATACATTTAAATACGTATGAATGTATTTGTCATTCTCAGTTTTATTGAAAAATACTTTAAATATAATTTAAGTGACGACAAAAATGACAACATTTTGTGAAGGGTACACCTGTGGATTTTCTAATGCCAAGTTTAAGTTGTCCTATTTTTAAATTATTTCTAAATGTCTGAAAATCATACAGCACATACACACAAGAATTTTTGATCGCATTTTTAGTAATTTTTACAAATTGCATTTAAATCACACCTAGTCAATCAGAAAATTGTACTCAAAGGTTTGTTGTATAGAAAGAAATAAGTGCATTGTATATTTGTATTGTTAGTGACAAATTGTAACTTATTGCATACAGGAAAACTTAAAAGTCATACAGGAAAATTGAGACAATGTTCTATGCACCAGGTAGTAGGCTGCTGTATATTATGCCAGGGAAAATGAGCTTCCTTGCACATTTTCCATGTATTTTGGAAAGTGTAATTGCATTTTTATGATTAATAAAAATGAAACTAAAATTTTGTGTTTTGTTTTCACTTCTTTTATTGACTTTTTTTTAAAGTGTTTAAAACATATAATCATATTGAATATATGAATTTATAATTTCATGGAAATTTACACTTTGCAACAGAATAAATTTCATGGTAAATTTTCAGCAATCTCCCCCAATTTTTGACGATCACTTGATTAGTAGAAACTCCTAGGAGTAAAATAAAAAAGTTACCAAAATAAAATTTCTGTAAAAGAAACTGATTGATTCTGTTTAATATTATAAAAACAATTGGCTTAGTTTAGTTGGTTGTTTTTGAACAATAACTAATTGATCATTTACAATCATGCCAAACACTTAATTCCAAAGCACAATTGAGGGCAGCAGCATAACAGGTCAGAACTAAGCTGGTGTTTAACATCATTAAACAATCAGCACACCAAATTTTAGCATCAGTTTAACTCTATACAACATATACCATAGACAGTTATTGAAAGTAAAAAAACTTTTACATGACTCAAATATACATTGAGGCTTGAATACATGTCAATTTTCCCCTTTTAAAACTGAAAAAAAAACATCAACTAATATTTGGTACATTCTTAGAATCTAATTATTCATATATGTATTTCATTCACTCAATTTTACCCTGCAATATGCTATCTTAACCTGCAAACACATGCAAGTTTTTTTTTTTTTTTTGCAACATTGCATCCATAAGGTGGCAATTTCCACCAATTTTTTTCACACACAATTATACAGTAGAGCATCGTTTATCTGAAATAATTCCAGTCGCCAAATTTAAATTTTCGCCAGTGCTGTGGTGCTGTAATCTTTGGCTATGTCTTGGGCTACTCAAATATTTTACATTTTTGATACTAAATTAACTTCTGAAGTATAATTTTTTATTGTTTTTATATTTTTCAATATATTTATTTTGTTTGTACAAAATAAAGAAATAATTTTTAACGATACAATAGCCACAATTATTATTTTAAAAAGTTTACGTTAGGCTTAACATCGATGAAAATTCAACTCTAAGCGACATGCGACAGAGAAAAATTTCAACACGGGATAGGTTAATATATTTTTTTGTACATAATCGGTTATCCGAAAAATAAGTTATCCAAACAACCCCAGTCCCCAATTGATTCAGATAAATGACGCTCTACTGTATTGTAATTACTGTTCCTTGAATTTGACAATTCTGAAAATGCCTGTAATGTGTCTTCTCTGCATATGTCAAATTTCATCATATGTTTTTTAATTTACAATATATTGTTTTGTTGTAACAACTTGATATAACAAGTACAATTCTTCATTAAAATGACTGACGATATGAAATACATCTGATGTTGACCTTTTATTGTAAGATATGACACCAACTACACACAGCACTAAAAGTTTTCACAATATCAATATGGTCACAATTGTCTTTAAACAATGAAAAATCACTCTGGAGTCCCTGGTAGAAATTTGGGAATTAAACAATATTTACATAATTATATAAATTGAATAGTCCAGGAATTAATTTTAATAAAGAACTTTATTTTACCTTCAAGTTGCTTACCATCTGTTTCTGATTGAATTTTAAAAAAGGATAAAAGATTTTAACCGATCCAAAATTGTTTATATGGTTATTGTTACTAAAATGAAAAATTGCATATAATTATGTGTATAAGATAGCAATTTTTCAAAGTTTTTTGAGGGCTCATAAAAAGTAAAAAAGTCTTTTTTGACTGAAATTTTTACAGTCAAATAGTTAGCATGAGGATATTGTGGAAACACAACTAAGTAAGTCAATTGAAATCAAAGAAAGCACCAGTAGGTACAGAAAATCACTGTTATTGCATATGATTGTGGATTAAATTAGATATTTTACCTGTAGTCTATAACAACACGTTGAAAAGGTATAGACTGTAAAATGAAATTGTTTAAAGTTGGTGCTTCTAAATCCAGATATATACCTTTTAATACATCCTGAAAAAAAAAAAATAAATTTGAATATATTCTGGATAGTGAATAAGTGTAATTAAAAATACTATTTTAAATAAATTAAATTAATAATCTTATAGTTGTTATTCTCAAAAAATTTTGTAATGTAATTTCTATGTAATGAATCTGAACTGTTTTTTGAAAAACAAATCAGAAATTTCAAAAAAGAAAGCTGATCCAACAGCTATTAATGACTTTTGATATATTTAAATAATGAAATGAATGAATAAGTAATATTGATTAGATGTAATTTAGTAGTTGTAAGACAATAGAAATATGGAATAATACTAGTATGTGAAAATGAGAGAAAACTTTATGCTAAATATTCATTTTTGCTTTTGTTTATGCTATTAATTGTACCATTTTTGTATACTGTTATATCAAAAAAGTTGCTTCTGTAAGTTTTAATTTTGCATTATTAATTCAATTCAAAGATTATTTGCACATTGTCATAAGATATTTGCTTAAAATGCTGAATATGTTTTATATTGCTTTTTGCAGAAAATTTTATTTTAACATAAATTTATTGTATTATATTTGGCATTAAAGTTTATATTGCATAACATTGTCTGACTTTTTATATGAACTGGATAATTTCTTCAAATAATCAATCAATCAATCTTTATTAGCAGAAAAGGAAAAGTATCCCTGTTGAAGGGAAAATTACATATATCTAAAAAGTATAAAACTTTCAAATTTATTCATTTGTAATAACATTATTCTATTGTTTGCAAATTATTTAGCTTATTCAAAGATTTTTATCATAATAAATGTACTAATCACCTCACAACAAAACAAGAGTTCGCAGATTCTTCTCAAATAGCCTCTCTAAATCTTATCCACATTATGATTTTATTACACATTTCAAGTTTTTCATTCAGATTACCTTTGCAATATCGTAATTTTAACAAAGTACTTGTACAATTTTTACAAATTATTTTTCTCAAGATTAGTTATAATATTTCTAAAATCAAAAGGTGTACTACATTGAAACATTTGCAAGATGTCACATAAATTACATATGACCTAAAGTCCTTGACATTACCACAGCAAGTAAAACATTGAAAAGTCCTTAGATTTACATCAATGGCATTCACCACCTGAGAAGTTAATATATGCATTTCTGACGAATAATGAGTATTTATTAAGTCACAATTGAACTACTAGTCTTTTCACATTAATATTCACTGATTTCATTATGTATGGTCTCATCAAGAAGTAATTTATTTCAGACAATTACAACAAAAAAATACAGACAAACACGGCACTATCAAAATAATAATGCAATGAAGATTGTGATTTGATACAAATTATCCAAAAAACTATAAAATTTATTTTATAATGGNTAAATAATCAAGCCGTTAAAAATCACAGCTTGTGTTCCGTTAACGGAAAAGTACCCAACCATTTCTTTGTATACATTTTGTTAAAATGATTAAATTCAGTAAAACGTAATCTAAAATCGAATTATAATGACTCGATAATTCCGGATATATTTAAACGGAACCTCGACAGAGCACAACACAGCGCGTGTTGTTGTTGGTTAAGTTATGGCAACGCAACACTTGGGCGATCTGCCAGAGGGATGCCTTCCGGTAGGTCTTTTTTTTTAAGGGAAACTGGAGTTACAGACGTGGAGAAAACACGGAAATCTTCACGTGGCCAGCCCGTCCGAGCGAGGCGCAAAACCCACGACCGAACTCCTAGTGTTCGGGGTACGAAGACCGCTTGGTCACTGGTGGGCACAACACAGGGCATTCTTCTTCTTATTCCGGATTGATGGGATAAAGCAACGCAACATAAGGGCAATCTGCTAAGGGGATAGATATCTCTCTCGAAGACTTTCTACCGGAAACTGGTTCTTATTTAAGTTAAATACTTTAGATAGGTTAAGAAAACTCGAAAAACTCGACGTTGGTAAGGTACGAACCCACGACAGCGTAGTTTTATCCACTTTAAACTTTTTCCCTTTAAAATATAAAGTGGTGGATAAGCGAGTAAAGTTAATTTTAACGAATATTTAAAATAAACTTTTAATTAGATATCTAGACATTTCATACTTCATTTACATTTAGGTTTCATTAACTGTATTAAAATTTGGGAGTCATAATGGAGATGGAGAGAAAATGAGCATTTATAATTGAGACAATTTTGATCTAAAATATAATACATGAATAACACAGGATATGCATCTAATAGATGACATTCCACACATGATGGCAGGTCATAAACTGCAGAGGTGAAACAAATGGACAAGGAGATTCTTTTGTCTAAGGTAGGTTCTCCTAATTTGGTTCTCACTTGTAAGAACCAACACCGCCTCAATTTGATTACCTTCAAGGGGGACCTTCAATGGATTGGATTTCCATGTGGTGATGCATAATTGATGCTTGCCTGAAAACAGAGTTTAGCTAAGATATGTCGACAGGCATATCATCGGTTGACAAATATTTGATGTCAACGTCTTTGAGTTCTCGGGATTCCCGGATGAAGTGATGTCATATGTCAATATGTTTTGTCTGAGAATGGAAGATTAGATTCTTAGTGAGCTTCTGGGTGCTTTATCATTGTACATTGTCGGGATTATTGAGTTCTAACTGAACATTGCAGAGATGTTTGAGATGGATAGCTTCCTTTGCTGCTTTAGTTAGTCTGATGGATTTTAGACTAGAGCTTCAGTAGAGCTGAGACTATAATCATCAATGAATTTGACAAAGTAAAGTGATCTGCCAATAGATTTCTTCTGCATGGGTCAGCTTGTTCATGCAACAAGAGTAGAAAAGCATGTGAAAAGGGAAAGCATGACATATTTCCTACAATGCATGTTTCACATGTGCTAAACACATCTTCCTTGTTGAACTCAAGATCAGTGGCTCCTTCTCAATCTAACAATTTTCTTAATGCAGCAGTTTGGAGATGACCAATTTTTTGTGCTGAATTTGCAGTTGGTTGACTTGATGTTTTCCTCAGAGAAGTGGATTCACTCATATTGAGGTAGCGTATAGTAGAAGTTGCTGATGCAATTGGCAACTGTGGCTATTGTTCCTTTTGGGTCAATGACTTGGGCACTGACTTGATCGAATATAACTTTGTAGCTTTTGTCTGTTATTTTGGAGACTGATAAAAGGTTCATGCAAAGTGATGGTGCATGAAGAGTATTCGGCAGACTGAAGGATCATTCCTGCTTACCTGTGTCCATGTGAATCTGGGCAGTACCAAGTGCTTTAATGGATACAGTTTGATCATTAGCAAGCTCCAAATTGGCATTAGGAGTAGGTTGTAAGTCTAAAAATTTTCATGTTTGAACACATGTAACATTGTTCTACTGTTCAGACACCAAGCATTGTTAGGTATTCCAGTGTGATAAAAAGACTCACTTGTAAGGAATATTCTCTTGTCAGGTTTGCCTGATCTCAGTTGGTTGTCTTGCTTCTTCGTTTTGCAATAGTCTCTTTCTTTATGGCCAGCCTTTTGGCAAAAAGTACACCCCAGTTTTAATCCTTGTTTGTTGTTTTCTGTGTGGTTTGATTTGTATCATGATTTTAATGGTGGATGGTTAGCACATCATTATTTTGCAATTCACAGGAAGCTCATCCTTCATATTTTTCTAAGGTTTTGATTTTGGAAAGTCACCTCTCATTTCAATCACAGTATGAAAGATTTTGAAATTGTTGAGCAAACTGTATAACAACAACATGGAGAAGAGCTCTTCAATTACTACAATTCCTAAATTGGCAAGTTTGTCTGCAGTGTCTAAGAACTTTGCAATATGATCAAGAAAGTCTGTTTCATGCAACTTGGTAGAAATTAGCATTTTTATGAGAGGCCTAGTTGGCTGAATCGTGGGCTTGATATATTGATCTGAGCTTTTCCCAAAGATTTCTTGAAGTTATACAATTCTTTATGCATTTCAGTTTGGAGAGATTCAACATTAATATTAAATTTGATCTTGTCTTATTGACCATTTTTCATCCAGCTGTTGTATTCAGCTTGAGATTCTGGGTTACCGGAGACTATTGCGGAATATGGTAATGCTCCATTGGTGGGATATGGTAGCAGTCATTTATCAATAACTGATAATAAAACAAATGAATTATTAAATGTAAAAAGAAATTTTTAATTAAAGGAACACAATATGTATCATGGATATATTCCAAAATTTATTCTATGCTATTTTACTTCCTGGCATATTTATGATTTAATAATTATTCTCTATTACACTATACATACCATAATAAAGACTACAGATATGCACAATTTCATGACAGGATATATTCTATGAAATACATTGTTAAGGGAACATCATTATCATAGACTGTAATTAGACAAGCCTACTTATAGTCTACACAACTGTAATAGAATGTTAAGTATATAAACATCAACAACTCATAGCCCGAGTAGTAAATACATCACCAAATACTTACTTTATTCCAATCATTTAATTACTTTATTCCAATCATTTAATTAGCCATATTATAGCCCAATATTTAGGTGATCGTTTGGTGATGTATTTACTACTCGGGCTATGAGTTGTTGATGTTTATATATATATATATACCTCGCCAGGTGTTGCGTTAGCTGGCTGAGTGCCGCTATGGCCGTGGGCAAAGGAGTCGTCCCCAGTCAGTGATGTATTTAACCAAGTAAGGCTATATCTAAATCTAATATACTTCTGGAAGCGAAGACTAGCTCGAGGGTCTGGGTAGCGTAACTGGTAAGCGCGCCGCACGGCAAGCGGAGGCTGCGGGTTCGANAATTTTTGTTAGGCTTAACAAAAATTCAACGCAAAGCAACACGCAACGGAGAAAAATTTAAACATGGCATATATTAATATACTATTATTGGGATATACTAATATACTATATTAATAATGTATTTTTTCGTACATAATTGGTTATCCAAAAAATCGATTTTCCGAACAATCCCAGTCCCCAATTGATTCGGATAATTGACGCTCTACTGTATTATTATGTACAGTACAATCAATTAAACAGGCATTGGCTCAGTATAATTATGTATATAAAATATGCTTTAGAATTTTTGCAGATATATTATTTAATCTTGTTATTTTATTCGTAAATCATCACTGTATGTATTTTATGAAGATATCTATAGCAATAAATTATTGAATTTAAAGTATATTTGAGAATATGAATTTGAACACTAAAGAACTAGTACTTTGTTGAATTTCTTATACTTATCATTATATCAAAACATCATTATGAACATTAAATTTGTGAATAATTACACAATTCTTAATATATGACTCATCAGATATTGATATTATAAATGTAATGTTATTTATTTCAAACAACTTCTTTTGCTTCCAATCTCTATACATAGAACATTTTAAAACAGTATTATTTCAGAATTTCATTATGCATGAAATATTTTCAATTGTATTATATAGTTAAAATTTTTCAGTAAAAAGTTATGCATGCACACAATTAAAAATTAAAAGATTAAAGATGAATCATAGACAGTGTAAAAAATATTTCTAAATTTCAAATGCTGTAGCAAAATGTTTGCTTCATATTATAATAGCAACAAAAATTTAAAACTTTAAAAGTCATTTTGATGAATATACTCAATTTTTTGAATGTAATACAGGATTTATTTATTTATTTATTTATTTAATTTTAATTATTAATTTACTTAAGAGATGGCGCCTAACGTCTACCTCTAGTGTCAAATTACTTTATTCCAATAATTTAATTAGCCATATTATAGCCCGATATTTAGGCGATCGTTTGGTGATGTAGAATGTTAAGTATTTATGTACCGGTATCTAAACATTGAAAAGATACAGCAAAATATGGTATTTCATACTTTGAAGTTTAAAACTGGCTTAATTTACGGTAAAATTATATTCATAGCATATTTATAATATCACAATAAATTATATTTGTTGTTCAGAAATTTTCTGAAAATACTTTACTTCATAACTTTTTGGATACATTTTATGTACAAGTACATGTCTATGCATTTGTAGCTAGAACTATTTTAAGATGATCAATACAAAACCTTCCTCACTTGTTTCTAGCTGTTTATACACGAGTAAGAACGTTTTTGGCCTTCTTCAGGTACACTGTAATCTGTTAAGAGCGTCGGTTGGTAGAAGTTTAAACGCTGCCAATGTTAACCTAGGTATTGTCTTACCAGTGACATCATTGTTGGTGATAAGTATAGACGATACCGAGGGCGAAAAATTCTTTCTTTTGGTAAAACTATTTGGTAAAACTAAAACTATCGTTACCTATTTACAGCATCAACTATGATGTCACTCCCCATTAACCCCCTATCGTGATAGTGCTTCTTCTTTACGTAGCGTGCTTACTTTACAATTTATTCCCCAATTTTAGCGAGTATCCCATCATGAACTATCCGCATACCTCTCTTTTTTACCAATAGAAAGAATTTTTCGCCCTTGGTATCGTCTATACCTATCATCAACGATGACATCACTGGTAAGACGATACCTAGGTAAACATTGGCAGCGTTTAAACTTCTACCAAACGACGCTCTAACAGATCACAGTGTACCTGAAGAAGGCCTATTAAGAAGGCCGAAAACGTTCGTAGTCATGTATAAACGGCTAGAAACAAGTGAGGAAGGTTTTGTATTGATCACCTACAAGTACATGGCTAGCGTTATTCACTTTTAATAAATGTAAAAAATATAAATATAACAAAATTACAAAGATAAAACTTTGCATTTTGCCTTCCTTATCGCTATTCACACCATCAGCAGTCCTTAAATAATTCACAAAGTTTCAGAGATGACCTTTCTTTTGTATTAGTTTTTTACTTAAAATATTATATTATGATTGTCGCATTAACACCAGAGGACACTTTACCTGTTTTATATGTTTTTTCAGAGGCAGTAGCCTCAAAAGAAAGGTCGTCTCCGAAACTTTGTGAATTATTTAAGGATTGCTGATGCTGTGAACGGCGAAAAGGAAGGACAAAATACAAAGTTTTATCTTTGTAAAGTCATATTTACACTTTTTATATTTTATAGTGCAGTAAGTTATATAAAAGTACATCTTATGTACTTTTATATAAC